TTTTATTATTATTCATAAACAGTCCTTCTGGCAGCATCTTTGTGATTCTGCTTTGTTGCTTTTCACACATCTAAGGTGACGTTCTGCTGGTTAATGGTTTTAATCCTTGGAGAGCCCTTTCACTGTGCTCCAACTTAAGGAAAGCTTTTGTGTGTGTAGGATACTGAGTCTGCACTTGCCATCGCCTTCGAAAAAGCAGCTGAAGCCATAGATGACATTCCCTTTGGCATGACCTCTGATGATGCTGTTTACTCCAAGTTTGAGGTGTCAAAGGATGGTGTTATCCTCTTCAAGAAGGTGACTTCAAGTTCTTAAGTTTCTTTTTTTCACTTTTTAAAAAGTAATTTGTATGTTTGTTTATACATGAAGGGCATCTACATAAATCTACTGTATATATCTTTAAACCTCTGGACATCCTGCTGTTACAGGACATTCATAATATGCGCATTTCAAATTGGTCAACAGGTGATTATTACAAGTAATTACTGTCCCTGGTGTAATCAGATTGTTGTAACCAAGCATTGTGGCCTTGGATTGGCTTGTGAAACACATACTCACACACATCAGTGTTTTGATCTACACCCTGGTAATGTGATGCTGTTGACCTCGCGGTGTCTGCTTTAGGTTTTTAATCTTGGCCTGTCTGAGGTTAATGTTCAAGATGTGTGCCTGTCTCTGGGCCTGTTGCTCAAACTACTCAGTGAATGACCTGAACATGTTGAACTAATGACAATGAATGCTGAAGAGCTGTATTAAGTGATTGTCTTTCTTGCATGTAGCCACATTGACTATGACCATAAGGTGATGGATGGCAGCTAAAAGCTTTCCTTTTAATGTGATGTATTTCCTTCCACCCACATCTTGTAGCTCACTGAAATGTACACGACCTCTGGGATTCTGTTTAACAGGTGGTGCCTCTTGTATCCCAGGTACTGACTACAATCACACTTGCAGAATAGGTCAGAGGTCATTACTTATCAGGGAAACAGTATCTCAGTGTGTGGATTTGTCAAATGGGTCAAGAGTGTCCATCAATAAAAATTAAGCAGCTGACTAAATTACCACATTTTGTAGTCTGTGGTTCTAGTGTGAGCTTCATAACATGCTATGTAAATGCTAATGGTGATTAATTCAGTTGTGAAAGGTTTTCATAGCTGAAATGTTCAGATACATCAAATTGAGTAAAGTTACTCTGACAGTTTATCAAGTTCATCAAGCTAAAACCACTGCAGTCCAATACATTAGTTCTGTAGTAAATCCTACCTTCAGCATCATGTACAAGGTGTTAATAATCAGGTTTTTGTTTTTTTTTTATCTGTAGTGTTCACCTGACTCAACTGTGCAGTCATTTTGGAGTCTGCAGTATGTGCTGCTGTATATAGTCTGTTTTACCGTATCTGATGTTTTATAGACGATGGAACGATCAAGAAAATAACTGGCAGGGTAATGTGGGGGGGGGTGGTAGTAATGGTTGGTTGCAGTTTTTGTTCTGGTGCCTTGTGGTGGGTGTATTTAGTTTTAACATTCTTGTAGCTTACAAATTATTTCCGCAATGAAATAATCATTTGTCGCAGCCGTATTTGCTTCAGTAAGAAACGGTACATTTTAAATATCTTGGTGCATTTCCATACTTAGTCCTTTCAGTTATGAATGTTCTTTCATTTTGGCGTTTGAATGAGCGATCAGTCGTCTTAAGGCCATTGTCTGGCCTCTGATCTGTGTTAGTAACTTTACCCTGATACGGACACCACTGACATATGGGCTTGCAGATATGCAGGGCCTGAGTCTTGATAAATAGCTGGAATATTTTACTTGTTTATTTCAAGGGACTTTCATGAACTCAGTCAGTGCTTGCAAGGCTGGCAGCATGCCACTGGCCAAGTGTCTTTTCTCCTGTTGTGTGCCAGTAAGGGCTGTTTGGCACAGCTGTACCACTGCTATTTTTAACCCTCAGTAAAAGTCATTTTGGTCCTCTGACTTCTCTGTCAGCTGGGGTTTACCAAGGGATTTTAAAGTTGTCTGGTAAATCTATATTTGGTGTTCACAGTTTCCATGTATCTTTTACAGTTTGATGAGGGGCGCAATACTTTTGATGGCGAGCTGACTAAAGAGAAAATTCTGGCATTTGTCAAGGCCAACCAGCTGCCTTTGGTCATTGAGTTCACAGAGCAGGTAAAGAATGGTGCCATTCATGTCAACATTACCATTTGTCCACAACAAAGAGCAGTGCAATTGAATTGTGATCCCTGTATGTCAGACTTATGTGCTTCTGTTTTCTACAGACTGCCCCTAAAATCTTTGGTGGAGACATCAAGTCCCACATCCTCATGTTTGTGCCCAAAACTGCGACAGACTTCCAGGACAAAATGGACCAGTTTAAGAAAGCTGCAGAGGGATTCAAGGGCCAGGTAGGTGAACTGCTAGTTGGTCAAAGTGTATTTATATTTGACCTAATAGTAGGCTCATAAAAGTTCATTACCAGTCAAATGTGATTGCTGTGTATTCTGTATACATTACACTAATGCCTTTTAAATCTAAAGCTTTACTCAGTCGTGTGTGTACACACACACACACACACACACACACACACTAGTCATAGTGAAATATTCCTCTTCATTTCTCCACTGTCCAGATCCTGTTCATTTTCATTGACAGCGAAGTGGACGACAACCAGCGGATCCTGGAGTTCTTTGGCCTGAAGAAAGAGGAGTGCCCCGCCGTCCGCCTCATCACCCTGGAGGACGAGATGACCAAGTACAAGCCAGAGAGTGACTCCATCACAGCAGAGAGCATCATTGAATTCTGTACTCAGTTCACTGAGGGCAAACTCAAGGTGACAGAAAGGAGTGGCTGCTTATGCGCATGTATCCTCTAGATGGCTGGTGCTTAGGATTTAATCACTGTTAATTTTGGACTAAAATTTGCTGTCTGGATATCTAATGTACTGAAGACAAATATATATGTATGCATGTATGTATGTGTATACATACATACATGCATGCATACATCGTTTCAGATGGCCACAAGCAATCAAACACTTATGTAAGTTTCTGTCTATTCTCTTACAGCCCCACCTCATGAGCCAGGACATCCCTGAAGACTGGGACAAAACCCCTGTCAAGGTTTTGGTGGGCAGGAACTTTGAAGAGGTTGTCTTCAATCCCAAATGGAACGTCTTTGTGGAATTCTGTAAGCGCCTCTGTTATTGTCCTATTTACTTTTTTTGCTGGGGGGTTGGTAGCATTTTATCAAATGTGAATCCAGTTTTGGACCAGTTACCAGACAAGCATGAGGGATAGAAACTGGTAATTAACCTTCCACTCTAGACCAAGGACATGTGCTGTGTTGACCAAAACCCAGTGCTACATTGGCACCAGTACCTTTACGATCAGTAGCTACCAGACTGAATCACAATGCAAATTCCAGTGCCTTGTTTTGATGCCACTTAAATGCCAGAGCTGTTGATAGAAGTATTTCTCTTCTGATGCTTTGAAATGGACGTTGGAGGCAGCAGAAGCATCACTGCATGTCATGTCTATCATTAGTTAAGTTGCACTTGCAGACTGCTACCATTGGCTAGTAGCTGCATTTAACGGGGGGTGCTGGCTTGTCTACTGCCATTAAGATCCAAAGATGAAGAGTAGGCATATTTCCACAGTTTCAGTGGTGATTAGCGACCCCCTGTGTTAAAGTAATGTGTGCACCAACATTACATGAGCGAAATGATTTGGTCAAGTGACTGACATTATTGGCAAAGCTTAGTGTAGAAGCCATTCAGCTAGCTAATTTTATATATTTGCATGAATTTTTTTTATTCACAATGCGTAATACATGGAAATAAATGATTCCCACAGTGAAAACGACATTATTGATGTCATGATCAGCAACCACCTACAATGCCTTTACAGAGCAACACTGGTTGAAAAGCCCTGCTTTAACATGTTGGATAAATATTTAAACAAAGGACTTTCCATTCCCTGTTTGTCCTGAATATGCTGCTGCAAGTACTGCATTCTGCAGGTGCTTCGTTGTCTTTCTTTTGTTGGCAATAGTGTTCCAGGAAAGGATTTGTTTGGCCACTGAGCACAGTATAGTAGAGCAGGTATATGAACACGGAACTGTTTATCAGTAACTGTCCCCACCAGGGAGCCAGTAGAAGTTTCCATTTGAAAAGTGTGGAAACGTAGCCTTTAATAGCTTTTGGGTTGAGGTGCCAAAGGGGTTTTTTCAGACAGTTAAAGCTCAGTTGCTCAGCTGGGAGATTTGGCGAAGCCTCTAACTACAGTATCTGTAACTGTAGTCTTGCCTTTTCTTACTTTGTTCATGCTAAGCTATGTTCAGATAGCTAAGAGCTGATGCTCAAACTCATTCACAGCCCACTGTCTGCAAGTCGACATTACCAGACACTGACATTGAAAAGATCAGGTTAAATATAGCTTCTAGATTATTTTCCATCGCTGGCTGTCAGACACAGCTTTTGGTCAGTCATGCACAGTGGGGAAGGCCCATATACCCTGACAGGTGAGGCAGGACAATTTCCTGTTCAGTCAAGGGCAGCAAGGCCATGAAGCTGAGGCACTGCATGTGACACGTCACTGTGTGTTTGCCCACTTCCACCTCTACATCTGAAACAGTATTGCCCTTAGATGTGTTAAAACTGATTAATATGCAAATAAGTTAAATCCAGAACAGTTGTGATTCAAAACTAAAAATGCTTTCTTTTTATTTATTTATTTAGATGCACCTTGGTGTGGACACTGCAAACAGCTGGCTCCCATCTGGGAGAAGCTAGGAGAGAAGTATAAGGACAGCCCTGACATCATTGTGGCAAAGATGGACTCTACAGCCAACGAGATTGATGCAGTCAAAGTCCACAGCTTCCCCACTCTAAAGTTCTTCCCTGCAGGAGAGGAGCGTAAGGTGAGAGCCTCATCATTGAATATTTGTGTGCAGTGTTATTCCCTTGAAATCTTTACTTTCTAAATTCTTTTCTTGCTATTATACCCCACCTTTTTGTTTTTTACAAAAAGTTTCAAACTAGATATTGGCAATTATATTTGATTTTCATTATTTTACATTCAAGAAGAATCCTGTGATGCTTACAAGTCAATGCAGTTGAGTCATTAAAGAGCCCATAGCATCATTTCATTGCTCGTTTCCAGCCATCGCTTTACTCTTGGGTACCTCTAGATTAGCTTTACACCCCTCATAATGCCAAATAGTCTAATTATTTGAGTGATAAAACCAGAAAGCCTCGTCCTAAAAGCAAGAGGCTAGTTTATGAATACGCACAATTCTTGCTGCCGGTGTTGCCTCGAAAGTAAACAGCACAACGAACTGCAACTGCATTAATTAATTTGAATTTCTCCTCCCTAGATGGGTAAACAAAGGCATATGTACCAATGAAAAGAGATTTAACACTCTAAACAAGGCATTAACGTGTGTGTGTGTGTGTGTGTGTGTGTGTGTGTGTGTGTATACCATTAAGTCCCACCAAGTAGTGGAAACATCGTTCCCTTTCAAGTAGCTCCAAGGGCAGTAAATCCAACCGGTGGTCACTGCATCTTCCTCCACACAACTGCATATAGTCCCAAAGTAGTGAAATTAATTCCAGTAGGTAGCGTAGCACCAACAATAACATCATGGGTTGTTAATCGGTTTGTTAACCAACAACACATCACATGCAGCAGACACACTGGCTTCAAGCAGTCAAAACAAATGGGTACTGTGCTCCAGAAGAATCCAGCATTGAGCTAATCATTAACCGCTGTGGGGGTCTTCACTGGCAGCTGCTTGTAGGTTAGACCCGGTCAGGTAAAACAGCGAGTCCCTGTACATGAAAACTCCAGAACATGCAGTAACTTCAGGCCTTGTATTTTTCTCCCTATTCTCTGGTCACAGTGCAGCAGCAGGAGGGAAAATATATCCACAAAACCATGCACATTCAAAAACTTTTAAAATGGCACCAGTGGATGTCAGGTAAGCTCACATGAACGTGCAACTGCCTGGAGATTATGACCATTCAAGGAAATCCTTAAAACTATCATGCAATGCTTTGCTTTGTTAGAAAAAAAAAGTTGCAAGCGAGAGTTTGAGACATGTATAACCTGGGTTGCTTCTTCATAGAAATACTACAACATGTACACCTCATTTTTGAGCTTTAGGTCACATCATAGTAGTTTGGAAATGGGATGGGATCCAGGTTTGAACCCCTTAGTAAATTTAAGGATTGGACATACTGACGTGGCTCACGTAGATGAATCATGCTGAAGACACAGGAGAAGGCTAAGACAGGTCATAGCTGTGTGGTACGTCTCTCTGACCAGATTAAGAAACAAAAAAATTAAATTGGGTGCTTTGCTGCTGTTCTTTCACATTTTCATGTGCAACCTTATTTTAGCAATCACCTCTGGGGTGTTGCTGTGTCACTGCTCATAGGTCACTGCTGGGCAACTTAGGAACTCCATTTGAAGATGGTGCCAAAGTTTGACAGCTGGCAAATGGCACAGTTGGGTGTCCGAAGCTCAGGGATACTTTTGTTTCTGAAGTGAAATGCATGGATTATGTTTAAAATGTATTGACCAGGAATAATATCATTAACAGGTGATTGACTACAATGGAGAGAGAACATTAGAAGGCTTCACCAAGTTCTTGGAGACCGGTGGTAAAGAGGGTGGGGCACCTGCAGGAGATGACGACGATCTGGATTCAGAGGTGGGATCATCTTAACTGAGATGCATTGAAGCACTTTATAGGCAGACGCGAATTTAGTGATGGGCCAATCCACTTTCTTTTTTTTTTTTGGTTCCGATCTGATACACAACTGCCAATAAAACAATGAACACTACTAAATGTGACTAATGATGGATAAGTGCAACTACTAGATGGCCAGAGGCCAAGGAGACGCACATTTACAAATCTCTACTTTTGGGCTATAAATAAACATTTAGCTTTTGTTTTGCCAGATTTAACATTTAATATGTAGCCACCATTAGGGTATTTCATTTATTTAAGAAAAAAAAACCCTCCTGTCTTTGTATTGAGGGTCCGGTAAAGTGGTAACTGATTAGAGGGGATCACCTTTGGGGCAGCTCACATCTGAGGCTAAGTATCAGTTGGGTGGCTTTAACATCTTCTAACTGGGATGACACTTGGTTTTTTTATAGTAGTCTCTGAAATGCATTTTCTGAATGGCAAATTATACCTGGGCTCCAACAGACTGTGAAATCTTGACATTTTCCACTACAGGTAGTGGTTGGTCTTCAAGTACAACGAAGTTGAGTAACTTCTCTGTAATTCCTTTAGCATTTGGGTTGTCTGCTGGACTTTTGTCAGGCCCCCCCCCCCCCCCCTCGGCATGCTGGCTTTGCACACACTACAAGTAGCTGTCTTGCTTTTCTGTGTTTCCAGACTAAAATATCCCCAAATATACAATATATTAGAAAAACCTACATCTCATGTTATTTGCTCATTGGGTTACAGACTGAAGTTGCTGTGGGTTTATGGTAAGATGTGGAATGGAATAGGGATCGGTGACGTGTCTCAAGTTAGGTTACAGTGGGTTCATGATCCAACGCAAGCTGTGGACTGGAATATGAAACGTTAAGTAAATCAGCCTTGTCAGCCCAATTTATAGTGAATGATTAATATAGGATCAGATCAGGCCCATCTCTAAATTGAAGCATAGTTGTCCAGTTGGATACTCAGATTACTGTGTGGTTCCTTCATTGTTAACTACACTAGCTAAGAGGGAAAAAAAAACATTACACAAGTGTCTGAATTGTTGGCTATAATTAGTGTACTGACGTCTGAGCTCCTTTTGATTCTAGCTAGTGTAACTACCAATTAGTTGCTCAGATTATCTTGCTTGATTGGTTCCCTGTATGTTTTCCATGAAAACAAAGCAGTTTTCTTTCAAAGGTCAGAGCACACCATCGTCATGTGTATATATACTCTTTGCTCTGTCAAACTGTGAACACCAGTAGAAACTTGAATATTTAGAAGGATCCACAAGTCAGGCAAGTGGGAAATGGTAGGGGCTAAAACATCATCATCATATGCTTTGAAAGAGCAACTCCAAGGTAGATTGAGGTTGATTGTTTGCATCCTTTTTCTAGAGTAGTTTCATGTTTAGAGAATGGTTTTATCTCTTACACTTGGGTTGTTATTTACAACAGAGATTAATCTCAAACCAGTATAGAAGCTAAAGAGATCAGCGTTAGGGGTGTGTGTGCGCCCATCTCTCAGTAAAACCCTGGCAAATCCGTAGTTGCCAACAACAGATTCATGGGACCACATCTTGTGAGGCTTTAAGGCTGTGACCTCAGGAAACCTTGTTTAAAAAAAGAAAACGTGTTAAAAATGACACCAAATTTAATCTTGGTGCAAAGCGTTCAGCTAGCATCTTTATTGGTGACAACGATATTGACCTGTCTGATGAGAACCTGCCACAATGCCTTAGAAATGCACAGCATGCATTTTGAACTTTGACCAGCCCTCTCATACCTCTCTGTTAGCACCTTCCGATTCCACTATTGCCACCACGCCCCATTCTCAAAAGTCTAATTGTAGCACAGCCGACTGTCATACTAATGCCTTCTGCAGCTGTCGTAGCGGGTTACTAGGCTCAATCTGGAGACTCAAGGCTGCAGATAAAAACTGCATGAGCCACACTACAGTCGGCATTAGTGTTATCCTGTATCTGACACATTTCCTCAGACTTGACATGAAGTATGTTTATGCATTCTGACAGGGGGACAAAGGATTGATTTGTTCAGATGGTGTTTGTAAACTGGTCACTTGATGCTTTTAAAACATCCATACTTTTTCTTTTTCCTAATCTTAAACCAAAAGTAATAGTTTTCTTGTCAGGCTCCACCATAAAGACTATAGGTACACCAGTTGCAGTTTTCTTGGCCAATTCAGGTTTTTTAATAACTGTAAATGAAAGCATACACAGATATTTTTGTAACTTCAATGAAAAATTTTATTGTAATAAGAATAGTTGTGTTAAAGTTTATGCTAAATTTTATTTCTCACTTTTTCCCCCTTTTTTTTTTTTTTTTAATCAAACCAACTAAGTGCAGTATTTGTACTTCATGTATAAACAGGTGCAACTGACAATGGAAACAGAAGATCTGTTACAACTTAGCACACTAGTTTCTATGTGCTGTGTTTGGCCACGGGCTGGATACACATACATGCATTTCATGCATGCTTGGCAGATTCTGTATTAATACAGAGAAATTCTATATTAACCAGTGACCCTCTTTTTCCCTGCTCTCCAGGATTTGGATGACGTGGATGAAGGACATGAAGATGAGTCTGATGGTGAGGACAATGAACATGATGAGCTGTAAGAGCTAGCAGAGAGAGGAGACGAGTCCTGCCCCAACCCCTCTAACCAGTCACCATCACCACCTTCACTTCCTTGTGGACCTTCCCTGTCCTGTGAACATTAATACTTCCTCTTTAACTGCGCCTCAGTCATTCAGCCACCTCGCCAAGTTAGTCGGTCAGTCCGTCAGTGGTGTGCTAGGGCCTTTTTTGCCAGCCACATCTCCAGCCTCGCAGCTTCTGGCCAGACTGGTCTTGTCCCGCCTGTGAGGACTCTGTGGAACAGTGCACCACCTCAATGGGAGACCTCAATGCCTTCTCTACAAACCTCCACATCAGTTGTTTGCCTTGTATATTTAAAACCAAATGTAAAAATGGCATTGAGATCCAGCTTTCAAAATGTTGACCCTGTTGACTTTTCTCCCGCTCCTAAAAAAACAAAAAACCCTTTCCATTGTTCTGTGTGGGTATGAGCTAAATGAGTGGTGTTACCTGTATTTGTGGGGGGGGGGAGGCTGCCAATGTTCTTTTTCCTCTGAGGGAAATCTAAGGGACCAGAGCTTTGTGTGAGGGGGTTAGTAAGGACTGATCTCTCAGGGGACAAGGGGGCTGTCATGGACGTTTTTAAATTTGCAATATCTTCACTAAAATAAACCCACAGAGCCTCTCTAGTGTAGCAAAAAAGGGCCCTCCATCTGTAGCTGAGACCATTTCTTTTCATCTTTAGTCAGGGGAAGTGTACTTTAATTTTTTTCTTCATTCCCAAACTTTCTCAGTTCAGTCCCCTCATTGTAGCACGGCTACTGACATTGTCTAAAAGAAACAAATGTTTTGTTGGGGGCAATCCTATTTTATTGAATTGCTTTCACTTTGCTTTTTTTTAATTTAGGACTTGACATTTTTAATGACGTACCATTGTGCCCAGCTGTACCCAGTTGGCCCTGTTGATATAGAATGGACCCACACTCTCAGATCAAATATGGTTTTTAGAGCCAGTTCTGATAGGTCGCACTGCATTCATGCCTAATCGGAGATTAAATGTGGTTTCTAAAGCGGATCGAGATTAGTACAGTAACTGGTCAGCTTGGTTTGAGAGAATTGTCCATTCTATCTGAAGGGGGAAGGAACAGTTGCACAGCCCCACCCCTCACCCATACTGTACCTCCAGCATCCCTTTTGGCTCTACCCAACACCCTTGTTGCCACAATGGTGTGAGTGTGAGGGTGAGTGCATGCTGTGTGAATGATGTAAAAACTGTTGTGATGAGTTGAGTGACTACTTTATATTTTCCTGGTTGTCTGTGAACAGGAGAATGAACGTACTGTGTGTTATTTGGCAGGGAGGGGAGGCTTGAGTAGAGCAAGGTGATGGGTTTGACAGCTATACAGTGGTAGGGAACTTAAAGCATTCCATCATATCCAAATTGATGTGGGAAAACATGAAATGGTGGTCAATAAACAAAACAAAAAAAAAAAACAAAGATTTGTTGGTTTTTTTGTCTTGTCAGAGTGCAAGTTCATATTGACAACTATTATTTGGACCCTGGAATGGAAAACGGCATTATACTCTGCATGTGATATTGAAACCGTTTGAGACTCAAAACAGGGATGGCAGTTCTTGACAGTGTACTAGCTGGTTAGGGCCAGAGCTTATTGTTAATTCAGTGCATAAAATTTAAGAAAACTTAAAAAAAAAAAATTAAAAAAAGCCCAATACAACAGAGCCTGACATGATGACTTCAAGACTGCTTTTGAGGACTAAAACAGACAGTTAAAGGCAGAGATGAGCTGTGAAACTGACCTTGTGACTTAACCTTTAATGTCACCAAGTATTTGGTTTTAGTGCAGTGCTTCAAAAACTAATCCATTTCCCCTGTTTTCTCCAAATACTTGTAAAAAATAATAAGCCTCAACTCTACTGTTTGGATGCTAACAAGCTAAACTAAGGTGGTGAACATTATATGCTGATGTCAGCTCAAGGCGCCTATGGCCATGCGATGCACGCTTTTCCTTCATTATAGTCTGATAGTGCTGGCATGATATTACGAATGCGTTGTGTTCATGTCATGTTGTGGACATGAGAACTAACTTTTCCCCCAACAATTAATGGTTAGGTTGTTTTAATTTTTCTATAAAATGCTAGAAAGCAGGCTGTGTTTTAGCCCAGCAGTGCTTCAGGCTAAATGTTAAAAGTGGTGACATGCTCGTGTAGCAGGTATCATGTTTACCATGCTAACATAAGGTCATTGACACCAAACACAAAACTCACACTGGTCATAAAAGTTGACTTAGTAACTACAATTATTAAATTTTATTCTCTAGTGAACATGTTTGTCTATGCCAAATTTATTGATAATCTATCCCGTGGGTATAGAGAAATTGACAATTACAAGTAACAATTAAGTCTGTCTTGAGCTACTGTGCAAATATGAATGAGGAAAAGTCATAGGCTTGCTAAAGTTTTTAATATTCACCATCTGGAGACAAATGTCTGCACAAAGTTTCATAGCAACCCATTTAACATTCAGTGAAATACAGTGGGCTGGACCCAAGTGGTGGACCTGACAGTGTTTCTCCCATTAAATTACCATCAACATTACTCAGAGCTTTAAGTGATGTCTTCAAACTTTTTTTCAAAACCCCAAAAGAAATGTAATTTACAATGAAGTAGAACAGAGAAAAGCAGATGGATTTTAGCATTTGTGCTGCTTATAACAATGTGTCTTTATAGTGTTGCATTAGTGACTTCTTGAAGTCAACAGTCATTTGGAAATAATACGTCTCACATCAGTGTTTAAAAATAGTACATGGCTATTAAGAGAGCAGAACTTTCTTGACTGCTTATGTCAGCACAGGGGATAGTCAATATCCTAAACATGACGGTTCACACCCATACAGTTGGCAGAAATCCACTTTTATCCTGCCTGTTGTTTACTAGAGGCTTCCAGCCTTCTCAGCTGCTGATATGTCACCACTGAACTTAACTGGCCAAAATCTGGGAATGTGGGAGTAACAACAAAGGCAGACGTTAATGGCAGTCATGTCTTGGAGACGTGAGCTGTATCCGAGGCTTGTGACAGGTTAGTGGAAGGGGCCTGACCAGAGGGCTACTCATCTTCCAAATACTGCCACTGGAACTGTGAGGTGTTGCCTCTTAAAATAGCCTGACAGAGAGTATAAGTGGATCCGCCAGGAGCCCTGGCCCTCAGAGGAACAGCTCCCCTGTTGCAGACACGATAGCAAGAGAAGAACTGGCTGATTTTTCGACAAGAAAACAACTGACCTCATATTTAAGAGAATCTGCCCTGATTTTTAAGACTTGAAGAAAGTCAAACGTAATTGTTAGGAAAGGGTTTTGCTGGAATTTGCCATTTTTTTGCAAGAACAAACAGAAGTCTGACTGAGCAGGATGAAGTACTATCAATGCCCTGTCCCCCTGACTGTAGGAATCAAGGCTTACACCAAGGACTGTGGTGTCCCAGTCAGCTGCAAAGGATCTGCTTATCTGAAGTCACTGCGCAGTGTGCACTTCCCCAATGACATTATTTTCCAGGACTATGTACGACACGGTGAGCTGGAGAGGATAGGACGTTTCATCCGGGCCAAGAGAGTCAACCTGGACACCATCTACTCCTCTGGTAACCCTGATCTGTGAAACGCTTACGCAGTTAGAGATCTTCCTTATGAAACCTTAGACATTTTCATGTGCTAATTGGTGCTGTCGTCTGTATGCAGGCATGGCTGCTATTCATGAGGCTGTCCTATCTGGGAACCTGGAGTGTGTGAAGCTGCTGGTGCATTATGGAGCAGATATCCACCAAAGAGATGAGGAGGGATGGACCCCGCTGCACATGGCCTGCAGCGACAGCTTCCCACACATTGCACGGTATCTAGTTTTTAGGAAAAAAAAAAATTAAAGCAAACAAAAAAAAAATCATTGAACAACTGTCACTTTGATCTCTTTTACTAAGCAGGGGTGTATTGTTTCTTTCAGCTACCTGCTCTCGCTGGGTGCTGACCGTGAGCTGGAGAACGACTGTGGGCAGAAGCCAGCTGATCTCATTGACCCGGAGAACAAGGAGCTGCTGGAGCTCTTTGGGTTGGCAGCCAATGACTGAAATCATTGGCTACCAACTCATGTGACACCTACTGCCCAGTCATGTGACTTCTCTGCAGTAATGGAGTGGAAGGGCCATGTCAGTCCAGTATCCTGACACATGTCTGGAGGTCAAGGACTGTGGATGCCTGGTGGAAAGAGGAATGGCAGAGCCTGGTGGCTGCCTCCTGAGTGGAGTGATCTTTTGCTGGTGAGGGGCTCCCCTCTGATCAGCAGTGCAGTTTTACTGTATCTGTAACAGCTTCAGATCCTTTCACTGATTTTAAGTAGTTAATTTTAACTGGAATTAGGAGAAACTTAAAACTGTTATTGCTACTTTGCTCTTTAGCACGCCATCCTTTGTACACCAAGATTAGGAAAACCAAGCAGGCTTGTGTTGACTGCCTTATTAGCAAATGTTTACAGCTGATCAGAAGTGACTCAACAAATGTTTTTGTCTATTCTTGCTTCTGTATAACTTAGTATTGATTTGTACAGTATATAACTTTTTATACTGTTTTTAAAAAACTTTATTACACAGAACTTTGTCAACCATTTCCTTCACTTCCCCACAGTGTGAGACAAACGAATCAAGTGCTGACATGAACATCTGAATGACAGCCAATTATACATCTCAAAAATGTGTTATATTAATGCTGTTTAATCAGATCAGCTATGATTTATGGCTACCAGGATTATGAGGAAAAAAATCTTGGTTTATGCTGAGCAAATCAAATTATATTAAGATATTAGTATGTGTAATATGATGCTAAACAGAGACAAATATCAACCACCTCTGCAGACCCCTCATCTTTTTAGCAACATTTTTCTGCCTGCAAATACCTCCTAGCCAGCAGCAGTAGACAGCTATTGACAAAAAAAGCTCAGATAAAACTGCTGTGCACTACATCCCCAGCACCACGCAGCCGATAAATATATGGATCATTTATCTGCTAAATTCCACCTTGATTTTCTCAGTTGGAGACCAGAAGAGTGAAAACTAGACTTTCATTTCTCAGGTGGACAGTAACAACCTCAAACAAATGTTCTGGGATGTGTAAATAGCAGTTTGCCAACAACATCACTTCTTAAGGTGACAATGTCAGTGTTGTGTTTTCAGCTTGCTGGACTATCCCCAAATGAACTATTAGAGGTTTAAAGCTACAATAAGTCAGTCTGAATAGATATCCTATATGTGCCAAAATGTCCAAACACAAAACATCTCCAATCCAATTTTAACCTGATATGAACCACCTACTGAGTACCTCTTCAGATTCACCGCTGGAAAAACAAAATCTCACCAAGAAGGATTAAAGTCAGTCGGTCAGCAGCAGATTGAAATTCAGGTCACATGCACAACTCTGGCCACAGACATTTCTGGTGTAATCAACCACACAGAGAACACTCTCTCATGCACCATGTAAAGAAAGAGCCATACAGTGCATGTGTTGTAGGATTTTTAAACTTTTTATTCCATACTAAATCTGTCAACAGAATACTCTATGCTCCAAATGTCCTCTGATGAGATGGAGAACAGACTTAGTTATTTACAGCTGGTATACAAATGAAACACACAGACAGGCTTCGGTGAGGGTGGAGATCGACACCACCTCGCTGGTTCATTCTTTGAACTTCCACTCCTGTCGGCACATGGGGCACTGCTGCTGGACCTGCTGCGAGTTTAGCCATTTCAAGATGCAGTGCATGTGGAAACAGTGGGAGCACTGACCCCAGACCAGCGGGCAGTCATCCCCAGGCACTTTACCTGCAAAACAAGTTGTAGAAAACAAATACTAAAGAGTGGAGGTGTGTTAACTCATTTTACTCTAAGACATAATGAGAAAGCAATTCTGCTCTCGCAACTGCATGTAAATGGCTACTGAGGGCATAAAGATTAGGCCATCATAGTACATCATTACAGTTTTGCCATTGCTGTTAAATACATTAACCGCAAGTGCTATTACTGTGTATTACACCGCCTGTTTATAAACCATGAAAAATCCTTAATAATGCATCTAAAAACCAATAAGATAAAGCACTGTTAAGTTCAGTCGTCACAGAAAAACTGTTGTATTTGACAACTGCTTGGGGTCAAGTTATTACAATATGCAAAGCACTTATCACACATGCAAAGTGCAAAACACTCATTCATTGGAACCAAGCGTACGTCTCTTTATTTGACATTACCACGGTCAACAAAATTATAACAGTTGCTAATAACCTCACCCTAATGTGGTTTGATGTTAAATGCTTTTCAGCGTTACAATATTAGTGTAGCTAACTGGATTTTACATTAATACTGTGATCGAAAAGAGTTGCACCTGCAGAAAAATGCCTAGAAAAAAACCCCATCTGGCCCTATACATGTCAGACACGTAACGCACGACTTCGTCTAGCAGCCGTACCATCGTGAGAGCGCGACCAGACACCACACATGCTAACAACCAGCAGCTCGGTTACTTACAGTCGGGGCAGCAGCCATTGAAGGGCATCCTGCAGATCCCACAGTTGTCATCATTAGCCACCCACAACCAAGATGCCACTCCGCTCCAATGTCGGATCGTTACCTTCATCCTGCTCCGTGTCTGACAGAAGCACAAAACGCTCACGTATGAAGAAAAGCAGCTAACGTTAGCATTGGAGCTAAAGTTGACAGTCTATGGTTGAGGCGTTATCTGCAGCTTGCAGTCCACAAACATTAGCTAACTTACTAGACTAACGTCTCCTTCAGATATCCAACACGAATCAAGTTGAGACGTTTCTTTGCAAACTAGAAATCATTTTATATCCAGTATAACGCCAGCCAACAGCGGCTAATGTTCGACAAATCGTGGAAGCGCGTTCTTCTTCTTCTTCTGTTGAAATTCCGGCAGACTGGAAGGCGAAATGCTGCCCTCCTCAAGTAAAAGCCTATGGGGCATAAATAACCAAAAAGAGTTCTTCAAATAAATAAGTCAACTAGAGAAAAAAACAACATTAGAAATCAACGCCTTAAAAGGAAACTCCATATTAAAGCCTCTGTATTTGAATGTAATATCATTAAAGTCTCCGTTAGTGTAATGATCAGGCGTCCCAATACTATTTGTGGTGGTATGTCTTTTGCCAGTACTACCATTAAATTAAGTATATGTATTATTTAGAGAAATGTTGTCTTTTTTTTTTTACAAAAGTTCTACATGGAATGATGACAAATCAGATTCTACATTTACGTGGGTACTGTACTCAAGAACAATTTTTAGGCACTTTGGTATTTCCATCTTATGCTACTAAATGCTTCTACACTATATCTCAGCTTTTATTTCACTCTAATAGTTGTCATATTAATACTTTGCACAAATTATTTGATCAGTTTATAAAGCACATTTTCACAGACCCCATTTTGGGGTCATGACAGTGGAAATCAATTGGTCACTAAAATGAAAAGTCAAACATATCAAAATGTTCTGTGTACTTGTATTTTGGAGCAGTGGCATAGTTGTTGCATGTTACTACAACCAGGATTGTGTACTCAGTGTTTTAGGACAGCGGGGCTGTTGAAGACAGAACAGAACAGCTGTGTTTAGAACAGGCCCCTCTGACATGAGGGGGAACACCCAGTGGAGAGTCATTTCCCTGGAGCATGCCGGGCTCTGACACAAGTGAACACACGCGAGGGGGAACATCGTGTCCCTGGAGAATATTGGTCTGTGACAGAAGCGCACACAACAGAATATCGTGTCCTCGAAGCAGGCCGGGCTCTGACACAAGCGCACTCGCACGAGAGGGAACACCCAGTGGAGGGCCGTGTCCCCGGATCATGTCGGGCTCTGACACGAGGAGGAACACCCAATGGAGGGCCGTGTCCCCGGATCACGTCGGGCTCTGACACGAGGAGGAACACTCAATGGAGGGCCGTGTCCCGGGCTCTGACACGAGGAGGAACACGATCACGTCGGGCTCTGACATGAGGAGGAACACTCAATGGAGGGCCGTGACCCGGATCACGTCGGGCTCTGACACGAGGAGGAACACCCAATGGAGGGCCGTGTCCCCGGATCATGTCGGGCTCTGACACGAGGAGGAACACCCAGTGGAAAGTTGTGTCCCTGGAGCATGCCGAACTCAGACACAAGCATACACGCACGAGATGGAGCATTGTGTCCCTGGACCATGCCGGGCTGTGACACAAGCGCACACGCACAAGGGGGAACATCATATCCCTGGAGCATGCCGGACTCTGACACCAGCGCACCCATGAAAGGGAATACCGTGCCCATGGAGCATGCCGGGCTCTGACACAAGGGGGAACACCCAGTGGAGGGCTTGTGTCCACTGAGCATGCCGGGCTTCGACACGAGGGGGAAACCCCAGTGGAGAGTTGTGCCCCCGGAGCATCCCGGGCACTGACAAGTACACACGCACGTGGAGGAACATCGAGTCTCTGGAGCTTGCCGGGCTCTGACGTGATGAACACCCAGCGGAGGGCCATGTCACCGGAGCATGCTGGACTCTGACACAAGGGACACCCAGTGGAGGGCCGTGTCCCCAGAGCTTACTGGGCTCTGACATGAGGGGAAACACCCAGTGGAGAGTCGTTTCCCTGGAGCATACCGGGCTCTGATACAAGCACACATGCAAGTGGGGGAACATCGTGTCTCCGGAGCATGCCAGGCTCTGACACAATCGCATATGCACAAGGGGGAACATCATGTCCCTGGAGCATGGCGGATTGTGACACAGGCACACACGCACAAGGGGGAACATCGTATCCCCGGAGCATACCAGGCTCTGGCACGATCACATATGCACAAGGGGGAACATCATGTCCCTGGAGCATGGCGGATTGTGACACAGGCACACATGCACAAGGGGGGGAACATCATATCCCCGGAGCATGCCGACTCTGACACAAGCTCACACGCACGAGGGGGAACATTGTGTCCCTGGAGCATGGCGGATTGTGACACAGGCACACATGCACAAGGGGGAACATCGTATCCCCGGAGCATGCCAGGCTCTGACACAAGCGCATATGCACAAGGGGGAACATCATGTCCCTGGAGCATGGCGGATTGTGACACAGGCACACATGCACAAGGGGGAACATCGTATCCCCAGAGCATGCCAGGCTCTGACACAAGCGCACATGCATGAGGGGGACCATCGTGTCCCTGGAGCATGGCGGGCTGTGACACAAGGGACAACCAGTGGAGGGCTGTGTCCCCCGGAACTTACTGGGCTCTGACATGTCCCTCAGAGCATGCCGGGCTGAGACACAAGCACACACACATGTGGGGGAACATCATGTCCCCAGAGGATACTGGGCTGTGACAAAAGCACACACGCAAAAGTGAGAACACCTAATGGAGAGCCGTGTCCCCGGAGCATGCCGACTCTGACACAAGCGCACGCACGAGGGGGAACATCATGAAACAGTTCACAATCCAGGCACCAAATGGTGCTAATACAAAAATGGCTGAAACCACCAAGCAGAGGGTACTCCGGTCCTCAACACAAGTCCACAGAAAACAGTGCGAACAGAAAGTGACCCTTCAAAAAACAATAAGGGCAATCAGTTCAGTACTACCTGAAATCAGGTCCAACAATCTAGAAAACAGGTCATACACAAGAAATTCTTAGTCATGAGAGCAGAGACAGGTTACCAGCAGGAACACAAGAGATCATCTGACGAGAGGACACACTAACGATCTCCTTAAGTACCTATCTTGTAATTGAGAGCAGGCATGCCTCGCCGTCTACAATGCATTCCCATCTGTGCGGGGGCGGAGCTACTGTGACAGCCCGTGCCAGCTGATGAGGTGCTGGGGGTGGTCAGGGCCACGGACGTAACACTTTCACTGAAACTAATTATTAATCACGTGTTTTGTTATATAAACGCTGAAGCTCTGTTGATATCGGAGTTATAACTAAAGAGATGTGTCACTACTTTTTTACACTGATCTCACTGTTTGTACCTTAATTAGCCTACATTAAATCTCATACACTAACCACACAAACATCTAGACATCATCTGCACTTCTGTCATGTTCATGACTGATCACACTCTTCTTTACTGTACATCATATTCAGAGCGTTAAATGGGAGACTGATGGTATAAGCACATACCCCGCGAGGAGATGATAGTTTATTTTGGTGATTATAATTCTCAATAACATTTCAAAGTTGTAAAATTATATGCTAACTTTTTAAAGCCTAGCGG